AGCGCAGAGCAGCTTGGCACAACCTACCAGCACTTCTTCAGCACGCTCGAGACGTTCTTCTGCCTCGCCTACCACATCCCCTTAGAAGACCGACAACACTTCCGAGGACGAGGCCGAGGCTATGCATTCAAGGAACAACCGCTACGAGAAGTCGGAGATCATCAACTTCGATACGCATCCCACAGATCCGACTGGTGGAGCCGCGTGGAGAACGTCCTCAGTACCCTCGCCAAACTTCGCCAACGCGAACGCGGACACCAGCAACAACTCAGCCTACATGCAGCTGGACGCCGACTAGTACGAGAAGGACTCCCACCACTCGGACGAAACGCATCACCCACCGCCCAGCTCCACCACCAGCTATGGAAAGGAAGACTAATGCAATTAGACGCTCAGCACCTAAAGACCCTACAGGGCATGGCCCGACAAGCGTGCAGCGAAAAGAGCCAAGCCCTACTCACAGACCTTCGACGCAACCACCGCAAGTACAGCAACTGGCTAGCCACCGCCTTCAAAACACCGGCCACCCTCCACAAGATCACCAAGCCACCACCACGACGCGAACATGAAGTAGCACACCAGGGCAAGGTACTCAGCGGCCCGCTAGACATCGTCGACGCCAAGGCCGCCGACTTCAACGACATTTGGGCCTGCCACGACGTACCGCACAGCCACCACACCACACTACTTTCAGACCTACGGCAATGAGCAGAACGGGAGGAACCACCAACGCCCTGGAACCATCGACGACCTAGACCATGGCCTCCGCGGGGAGCCAGACAAGGGCAACGGCGTCGACGTCATCAGGTACAGCGACATCAGACGGCTACCACGAGCTGGACGGCAAGCCCTCGTTGACCTTTTCAACCTCTGCGAACAGCACATGATGTGGCCATGGCAGCTCCTACTCTCCATCGTCATGATCATCCCCAAACCCAAGAAAGGTGACCGCGCGCTCGCTCTCTTGCCACAGCTATTCCGCTGCTGGGAACTACTGCACCGAGACCGAGTCCGTCGATGGGCAGTGGGTCAGCAACGAGAACGGGACGCCGCCATCGCGGGCAACAGCTGCCTGCGAGAAGCACTACGCCGCCTCATCACCGACGAATGCGCCGACACCTTCAACATGACCGAGACCATCCTGCTGGCAGACATCGAGAAGTTCCATGACAGCCTCCGTAACGACAAAACCGTGCCAGCCGCGCTACGTATACAGTTCCCAGCCCGACTGATATACCTCATGATGCTCCAGCACTCAGCCGCACGAGTACTGCGACGCCAAGGGTCCTACTCCATGCCGATCTACGCGGGCCGCTCCATCCTCGCAGCAGGCCCCAGGCGCGCCAACAACATCGCTCGCGCAGTCGTGTGCGCCGCCATGGCGACCCTCACCGATGCCAGCATCCTACCACGACCACTACCTCGCGCATGGTCCGACGACATCAGCATCCACATAGTAGGCAGCAGAACGCACACGACAACCGCCACCGCCGCACCAACGCATCGCCTATTCCTAGCACTACAAGAGCAGGGGCTACGACTGGCCGACAAAAAATCTACCCTCATGACCACGCGCTACAAAGACACCAGGAGGATCCAGCAGCAGCTCCGCGACCTCCACATCGTCGTTCAAGCAGCCACAGAAGGACGAGACCTGGGCGCAGATCTTGCAGGTGATCCAGGGTGCGATGGCCTCCGCGAAGCACAGCGTCGCCTTCCGCGGCCTGGCCCCCGCCGCACTACGAGCAGCACGACGCCAATGCGCGCGAGCCTTTCGACGACCTTGGCCTGGGCGCTGCCTCGCCACATTCCTCGACCTGGAAGGGACCGACCCCGCCTACACCTTCGCGAGCACGCAGTTCTCCCACTGGTTTGGATGCTGGACGCACAGCCCAGACCTACGCGCGCAAATCAGACGCGCCTGGCCCAGAATCTACTTCCGACTGCTCAAGGTACCTACCCACCGCCTCTGGCACCAGAAACGCGGCCCCATCGCAGCCATCATCCTAGCGCTGTGGGGGCTTGGCTGGGACTCACGCGGACCAGACCACTGGGTCGACAGCGCAGGCAACGACTGGAAGTTCCCCCACGACGACGCCCAAGACACCAAAGACATCCTAGACGCCACCATGCACGACGCAAGGCAGCAGCTCTGGAGGACCGCAGCAACCCACTACCACGGCGGAGGCCTCGAGCACAACGGCGCTGACACCACAGAGCTCAAGCGACACCTGCAATGGCCCCGGACACACGACAAGCACCGCGACTACGGCGCCCTTCTCACTGCAGCTTGTGCGGGAACGTGGACTCGCACTAGGCAGCAGACGACATTCGGCCATGGCAGCCACTTCTGCGAATGCGGGCAGCCAGACACCGACTACCACCGCATCTGGGAACGATGCAGCTGCCGGGGCGACGACGACATCTACGACAAAACTGACAGGCTGCAAGCCCGCGCCGCCGCAGGACACCAAACCACCCCAGCCTCCTGTCTCAGAGGCCTCACCCCACGCGATTGGTCAGTGCCACCAGACTGCGATACGGCCGAGTCAGCATCCAACATGGGCGAGCTGACCCAAGCCGACAAGATCCGCACCAACGACGGGACGCCCTTGGTCACCTACGGCGGCGGCTCAGGCGGTGAGCGCTCCTCCGACTGGCGCTACCGAAGATGTGGATGGGCGTGGCTAAGGCTTGGCAGCGCACGCGCCGGCGGCTTCAACGTTGCCGCAGCACGACGCGGTCCACTACCCTCACGACGACAAACGAACAACCGTGCAGAACTTTGGGCACTACTGGGTGCGATCAAGCACACCACTGGCGCCATGCACTTCTGGGCGGACAGCGAAATCGCATTCAAGGGCTGGCGAGACCGACGGCGCCAACTACAGCCCCACGCGGGCAGCAAGGACGACCTCCGGGAGACCATCGGCAAGGAGCTAGAGCACCGCGACGAGCAAGGGCCAGCTCACATTGCAGTCCACCACATCAACAGCCGCCTGATCTGGGTGGAAGCGCAAGGCCGAGGTCCCCCCCATACACGCATGGTTTGGAACGCACGAGTGGATCGACTCGCAGAGCAAGCCGCCGCAGAGCACCAACTGGGCGAGGGCCAGCTCGGATGTTACCAGTGGGTCAACGCCGCCGCCGCCCTCATCCGCAAGCGCATGACCGCCGCCACTATCGACGCCATCGACCGACGCCCATCAGAAGCACGCGAAGCACGCGCCGCACGACGAGCACAGCAGCACGAGCACCGCAAGCAACTCAGACGAATACGAGATTATTTCGCCGACGGACCACCTCAACCAGTCGGCAGATGCCCACCTACTACCCACAACCTGGCCAGGCCACGACGGGGAAAGGGTTGGGTGTGCACTTGCTGCGCTCCGCGCGTCGGACGAGACACCAGCTTTGCAGCAGTGCGAGATTGGTTCCAGCAGCGCTGTGCAGGGCCACCACCGCGACAAGGACGAGCCATCACCCAGCACGGGCGCACTGCACACGACAGCCACCAGCTGATGTTCATCCGAGCAGAACCCCGCTGGGTATGCCGCCACTGCGGTGCCTCCACCACCGAGTGCGTGTCGGGGAAGATGCGCTCGGAATGGACACGCCGCGCAGGAGACCGCAGCCTGCGCTACAAGCTCCTGAAATGGACGGAGCTCGCCGACAACGACCATGACGGGTACGACGACACCAGCACTGCCACCAGCCAAGGACGACGCGATCCAGCACCCGGCAGCGACCAAACCAGCACGACCCCCAGCGACGACAGCCACGAACCACCAGTGACGCAGACCATTGAACCACCGCAGACACCACCACCAAGGACGCAAGCCGTTTACTGTAACGGTGTGGAGGGGGAGGACGAGCACCCCCCGCGTCCACCAGCAGGGGCTGTCAGGGGACGTCAGCGAGAAGATGCATTTGAACGCCCTCGCCCGCGCTCCCCGACCGCTTCACGGCAGCCCGACCACCACCAGGACAAGCAGAACGAGCAGCCACCACCCCAACACCGATGCCAGCACGACGAAGCATCACGACCCAGCGCGACGAGCAGCAAGCCTGTGAGCAACAACCTCAACGACCCTCGACAGCCGCAGCGACTGTAACGAGCATCGACAAGGAACGCCGCAGGCAGTGGGTCCGCAGGCTCCTCCAAGCTGCCAGTCGGCCGATCGAAGAGCAGCACGACGGCGACCAGCAGCAACACGCCCAGCAGCACCACGCACTGAACACCACCGAAACCAGCATGACAACGAGGCCCAGGAAGGGCGACAAAGGGCGAACGAGCACCCCACCGCTGCCAGTCGACAGCTCGACGACGCACAGCACGACGTGGACCAGCAGCCCACCCAGCAGCACCACGCCGCCCAGCAGCACCGCGACGCGCACGGCTGCGCTGGACTGGATGGGTCAGGCACTGCCACCTTCCTTGGAAGGCATGTCGCGAGGGGCGCTCGGGGTGGCCCCCCCGAGGGCGCCGCGCGGGGTGCTGAGGATCTCGGGGGCGGAGCGCGGACGCCGCAGAGGGCGCGCTCGGCCACCTTGCCCCGCGCGCCTCCGCAAGACGCGCGTGGAGAGGAGGGCGGCCCTCAGGGGCGCGGCCCCCCAGAGCGGTTGGCCCCGAGCGCGGCGCGCGCCGCGCGGCGGGGGGCCGCGACGGGGCGGGAGAGACTGCCTGCGGCAGAGGGGGATCTCGCGGGAATCTCGTCCGAAAAAGGTGGGGCGGGGAGAGGCGTTTGGCGCAGGCCGCTCCCACCGCGGAGGGGTCTTGGGAGAGGAGGGGGAAGGACCGTGAGCAGACATGCCCAGCAGAGCAGGGGAAGGTCCTCCTTCCTTTCTCCTCCTTGCCTCCTCTCTTCCTCCTCCTCCTCGTCCTCCTTCCTCCTCCTCCTCCTTCCTCCTCCTCCTCCTCCTTCCTCCTCCTCCTCCTTCCTCCTTCCTCCTCCTCCTCCTCCTCCTCCTCCTCCTCCTCTTTCCTTCCTACTCCTTCCTCCTCCCTCCTCCCCCCTCCTTCTCCTCCACGCCTCCTTCCTCCTCCCTCCTCCTTCCACCTCCCTCCTCCGTCCTGGCCCTGCGAAGGCCTCTCAGGAGTCGCAAGCGCCCCGCGTTCGATCGGAGGCAGGGAGGGGGGAGGGTCGGGTCGACCCATACCTACGTGACCCCTGGATCTCTCGAGGTGAAGTTCCCTGAGGGCTATGGGTGCGTGCTGTCGGACGGGGGTCCCCGCTTGAACGAGGGCCCCCATCGGGTTCCGACAATCTGCACTCATAGCTATATTGCCTTTTATCGTATTGCTCTTCCCCATTCCTCCTCCCTACAAGTTTGATGGTGTGTTCTTCTTTCGGTAAAGGAGGACGATGACTCTTCTTCTTCTTCTTTACGGCGACGGCGACGGCAGCGACGAACGAGTGCGGCGAAGATGGCGACCAAGGCGCACACTTTCGATGGTCACGGAGGGGTATCCGCCCGCAGGAGTCCCGTAAGATTCCATTTCCTTCTGCTCTGCCCTCTTCCTGCAGAGAAAGGGCTATGAGGGACAGGACGGGGATGAGAGCCAGCGGAAGTGAAGGACGGGTACCAACAACAGCACATTCTTGTGATGGTGACGATGTTGTCGAAAACGGTTGCTACAACAGCGGCGACGGCCCTGCTGGTGCCGACATCATAGAGTTGACGGTGCCGATGACAAGGGTAGTGGCGAACATGACGATGGTGACAAAGACGACAAAATCGGTAGTGGCGGCGTTGCCCTCTTGCTCCAGGCAACTTCCTCGCCTGTGCTGGCTTCGGCTTCGCGGACTCTGGGCGCCAGGGTGTTTTCGGCACGTTCGCCGCTTTCCAGGACCTCTCTGGACCCAGAGGGGGAGACGGAGGAGGAGGCGGAAGAGGAGGAGGAGGAGGAGGAGGAGGAGGAGGAGGGGGGGAAACGTCAGGAGGAGAAGGATGAGCAGGATGAGGCGCAGACGAAGGATGAACCAACGACTTCCTCCACAGCTCACACTTGCCAGCCGACCTGATGGAGCCCCCTTTTGTTCCGTCGACCCCGCTCGACTAATTGCTTGGGGCCCTGCGCGAGAGCCATCTTGCCCTTCCCTGTTCAGGCAAGCGCGCCCTGCTCTCAGGGCGACGCAAAAATCATAGCCTGCCGACCGGCAACCTTCGCAGGAGCTTTTCACCGGCGTTTCGTGGGAGAAATGGCGGCGATGGGGGGCCAGGGCGTGATATCCCACAGCTTGAGCGCGCCAGGGTGAGCTCCTGGAACGCGATGTTTGTTGGGATGTCGGGGGACGCGCAATGGGGGAGCGATAAATGGAGGGGCGGCAAGGGTTGCAAAGAGCTAACCACACCAGCAGCTCAACATAGATAAAATAAGAGCCCATGAACCCAGGGCTCTAGGAGGAGAAGGACAGGAGAGGCGGAGGCAATAGGCGGTCAGATGACGATGACGCTGGCCCCCGTTTTGCCACAGGCTTGCCGGCCGTGTTGCCGGTCCTCCGTGTCTTCTGCCACACACACAGGGTCTCGCCGCCACGAAGGCGAGACCGCTGCTAAAAAGGGTTTGGAGGGACCTCTTTACAGCTTGGCCCAGAATGGCTGGAGCCCCCGGAAGGGGAGAGGAAAAGGGGGGAAAGACGGGCAAGCACCAGCAGGAGCAAGGAGATGGAAACCCAGCCGATTTGGGGGCGTGGTGAGCCATACGTTGAATCAAACATCCTAGCTAGCCACACCAGCAGCTCAACATAGATAAATAAGAGCCCATGAACCCAGGTCTCTAGGAGGAGCAGGAGGAGGAGGAGGACAGGAGAGGCGGTGGCAATACAGTCGGCCCGGATTAGTAGGTCGACCCTGCCAAGTCAAGGGTACCCTTGTGTCCTGTGCCTCGCGACACGTGCCTTCTTACACTCCTATGGCGATGTGGCCCTCGGAAGGGTCTTGTGTCCTCTCGCGTGTTTTGTCCAATCAAGGCCAACAGTAGGCGGTCAGATGACGATGACATTGGCCCCCGTTTTGCCACAGGTTTGCCAGCCGCTTTGCCGGTCATCCGTGTCTTCTGCCACGCACAGAGTCTTTCGCCGTCCCCATATTTTTCTCCGCCGGCGCGCGACGCACGTGCCAGGCGGTTGATCTTGTCTCCGGCTGGCGCTGGCGCCCTCGCGCCTGGCGCTTGTGCGACCACGGCGCGGCTGGCGCGCTCCCCGCGTGCGCGCCCAACCGCCTGCTGCCGGCGCCCTGCTCGCAGGGCGCCAGGCCAGTAATTATTGGCGCCGCGCCCGTTGGCCTGTCACTGCTGCCAACGGCGCAGCACGGCTGCTGCCGGCGGCCGTGCGCCTGGCTCGCCTCTCTGGCGCCCGGCTGCCACTCTGCGCCCCGCTGCCTGCGGGCGCGCGCTGTCCCGCCCGCGGCTGCGCCGTGCCTCGCTCGGCGCCCCCTTGGCCGCCGCCGCGCTGCGGCGCCCCCGCGCGGCGGATGGCCCCATCTCCCGGCTAGCGCATCCCTCGTTGGGCCGGCGGCTTCAGCGCCACCCGATCAGCACCACGGTTCCCAGCAGCCCCGGCAATGTCATTAGCGCTGCACCCGCTGGGATCACCAGGAGTGAAACCCGCCCTCGGACAGCTGCAGCGACGCCATGCCCCGCTGCTCTCCTGGGGGCGTGCCTGCCCCTCCAGCCGTCCGTTGTTGCCAGGGTGACTGCCGCCAGCGCTCTGGCGGCCTCTCTCCCTGGCTTTTAGCCTTCGCCAGGCCCTCTTTCGGCCGGCGGGCTGCCTCTTCCTGCTTCGTGTTCTACATGACCACCTCGCCCTGGTCGAGGGAGTTCACGCGCGGCTGCGTTAGCTCCGACGTGTCCTCGGCCATGCGCCTCGCCGCGCCGCGCATGGGCTCGTGCGCCTCCCACAGGTATGAGTGGAAGGTGTCGGAGGCCCACCTCCCAAGCCTTCGCACTTTTTGCAGGTCGTCGATGCTATGATACATCGCCGTGGCGCCCCCCTATGCGCAGGCTGCGGGGGCCCACCCTCTCTCGCCGCATCCTGGCTGCGAGGGCGGCCACCGCGAGGACGTGCTGGACCTCCTCTCTCTCTTGATGTAGTCCCCGTTGGCCCACCTGAGCAGCGGCTTGGCCTTCTCGCTGCCCCTCAGCCGTTCCGGGAAGTGCTGCTCGAGGGACTCGGCGCAGCTCGGTGCCCGCGCGGTGCTGATTCCGCACGCAGCCCTGGTCCGTCTTTGAGCCTTTGAGATGCAGCACGACCTCGGCGTTGTCGAAGATGGCCACGCTCTGGTTGGTCTTGTCCCCCCCATCCAGGTCTTCTCCGTGGACCACCCGCTCTCCGGGAGGAATCTCCGGAGCCAGATGAGCACCCTCGGCGTCATTTGCTTCTTGCGGCCGCTGGGCTCCCCCGCTACCTCTGCAGCCCGGCGAGCGTCGACCACAGCCGCGCTCTGTGGAGCAGCGGGTCGCCGTGCCCCATTACCAGGTGCGCATGCCTGGTGGCGAACAGCATGTGCTTCACCGCGCCGACAGTGCGCCCGAGGACGCGCGCCACTTGTCTCGGCCTTCCAGCCAGGGGGGCTTTTGCTGAGCGCTGCGGTGCCCCTGCCGCCGGCGCCGCCTCTCTCCGTGCCCTTCACGGGTGCCCTCGCTGAGGAGCTGCGTCAGGGCTTCGCGATGCTGCCTTTCGAACCGCTCCTGGTAGTGTTCCCCGCCGACGTGGGGCTGGTCTGCCATTGGGGGCTCCGCCCAGCTCTGTCCCAGTGCCCGGGGCGTCACCAGCGGCTGCCCTGGCGAGACTGACCTGCGCGGGCGCTTGCTCTTGGGCTTCTTCTTGGTGACGGGCACTTTCGCCTTGACAAGGTTGGTGGGCTCGAGCTCCACGGAGGCCGGGCCTGGTGGGCCCTCGGGACCTCGGATCATGTCGTCCTCGATTTGCGGGAACCTCACGTCCTGGTTCTTCTGGCGCACCTTGTGCGCTTCGTCAGCAAGGGTTCCTGCTTTGCCCTGGGCCCACACCGGGCCGGCGGCCTCTTGGGCGCGCCTGGCCTTCCCACCTTCGGCCCAAGCTCGCTCTCAACCAGCGGCGAGTGGCTTCCCAAGCGGCGTCCTCCGCGGGGTCGCGGCACCCGCCGGCCTTCGCTGAGTCACCGACCACGGCCGCTGCTGCTGCCTCGAGCGCCGTGCAGGCTGTCTCTGCCGGCAGCGACTTCGCGGCTTCTCGTGGCAGAGCGCTGGTCTTTTCGCCCTCCTGGCGGCGGCGGGCCCACTCAGCCCGCGCCCCGCCCTGGACCAACCAGATCTTCTCAGCGGTTACCCATCGGTCGTTGAAAGTAGGTATTTTTGGATTCCCAGATTCCAATCTACTTTGAGCGCCTTCCTACTTCAAGAGTCGAGTGGGTTTCCCTCTTCCCTCCTCTTCAGGAGGCGGGCGGAAACCCAATATATTTCCAACGCCTTCCTACTTCATGTTTCTACCTACTTCTTCCGACCGATGGGTAGGGCGCGCACTTGGCCCGCGACGCCGCCCGGCGCATGGGGAAGCTTTCCGCTTGTCGCCCGCTGCCCAGCCACCTTTCGTTGCCGATCGGCCGCTCTGAGGAATGAACGAGGTGGTGCTCTCCGTCGATGGTCAGGTTGCCGACCCCCGTACAGGAGCACGTTGCTCCTGATTGTCGGGTTCCAGGTGATTTTGCCCAAGCCGTCGAGCCATGTGTGAGGCTCGCCCGCGTTGTCGCTCTTCGGCCAGCGCCGTGCCCCGCGGGGCGCTTGGCGGGCCCGCGGCGTTCGCGCGCGCCGGGCTCGCGCCGGCACCGCCCGCCTCGCTCTGGCTGTCGCGCCCCCGAAGTGCGAGCACGCGTTGTCGAGCTCCGCCGCTTGATGGCCCAGGCTGCCCAGCGTTTTCAGGACGGGCTTGACGTTCAGCGTCTGGGGGGCGTCCGCCACGATGACCCGGGGGCGCGCCCGTGCGACCGAGGCCAGGAGGTCGGCGCTCGCGAAACCCTGGTGGCACCCAGTCCACCGCGTCGCTGTCTGAGCCTGCGACCCCTCGCAGGTTCGCAGGGGCCTTCTGGCAGGTGCCAAGGAGGTCCCCAAGGACGATTCCCCTCGCGCTTTCTCAGCTGGATAGCCTTGGGCGGCCCTGCTGGCTTGCGCCGGGCACAGCGCCGCCGCGCTGCGTCGGCGGCGTCACCCTTTTTCCCCACCAGCTTCAGCAACAGGTTCTTGGCATCTTTCTGCAGGAGTGGACCTGCCAGGATGGCCACCGCTTCTAGTCGGCAGCGCTTGCATGTGCACGGGGGAAGGGCTCAGTCAGAGAAACCTTCGCGTACTCGGTAAGGCGGGCCAGGTGATGGAGGGTGGGTATCTTGCGCTGCTCGGCGCTGATTGGAATGTCGGTATTGAGTGCATGGAGATGTTTGGCATGCCTCGCAAGGCCAGTTTGCTTGTTTGGGGGCCCTATGGAGGCATGCGCCACGCCGCAGGCAAACGCCACGATTGGTTTTTTTGTGTCGGCAACAGCCGCCGTCAGCAAGCTTGGCATCATGTGGATGTGGCGATGTCCTGGGCCAAGCGACCACGCCGACCTGTGCAGCTCCAGCTCAGGCCTGGGGCAGTCAAGCTACATCAGCTCGTGCACCCTCCCACCAGAGGCCCCCAACGGAACTCCCCTTTGGCCCCTCGAGGGAACCCATGGATTGGACCCTGCCCAGGGCTATTGCGGAGAAGGCCAATCTCGTCGCGGGCGCCCAGGAGTTTGCCGTTGTTTGGGGGCGTGCTGGACGCGGCTTGGAAAGCTTTCTCCGATGCGATGGAGCTCGAGCTCGAGAGTAGGTTGGGCGCCCCCGTCAGCGTAA